ATACCAGAAAGTGCAAAATATGAAGAAGGCAGCTTTCAGCTCCTTCAGCATGGAGTAGAACATTCAATTTTGAGCTTTTACTGTTGAACTTGAATAGCCTGCACATTAAAAAAAAAAAAAGTTTTCTATAGAAACCCAATTTTTTAAAGTCCAGGAAGCATGCAGCTGGTTAATGTTAACAAAAGACCTTGACAGGAACATGTAAACTATATTGAATGTCATGCTTGGGGCCTATCTGCCAGCAATATTGTAGAGTTGTTTCATTAAAAATGAATACTGTACACTTAATAGGGGATAACTTTCTGCAGCCTTCATCATTCCACACAGTACAGAGATTTTGAATCTAGGTAAAGAACATGTCCTGGTGTCACACCGCCGAAGATGTCCCTGTGCAATCTCTTTTGTTGAGTCCTTATGAAGCTACAAGTCACAAATCCAAGATTCTGCTCCCTGAGGACACATTATGTGAGACATAGCACGGTTTTAGTTTTCTGCCTATCCTGAATGCTCTGTGAAACTTAAATACCATCACGCAACAATCACAAAAACTTTTGCTAAAGGCCGTATATACTAATAAAAAGACAGTGGTGCTTCTGACATTCTGAAATGCTCTGAAAACCAACTTTTCCAATACTAAATACAACAAAATAACCTTCATAAAATATAACTTTTCTCCATTTACACTTTTTTAAAGGATTAGTATCCTATGCTTTTTAAGCACAGGAATCTGTGAAATAGCTCCTAACATGGACAGATTTTTTTTTTTTTAATACATAACTTAAGAGACTGGAGAGTTTTAACTCAAGTCCAGTCTCTAAACAAGGAATATTCTTGTTTACTTTAAAAATGGAAACAACATATAGTTCCATTATAATTGTTAAAAAGTTAGCTTTACAAACATGGGAATTTTAATTTAAAAAAAATTCTTAACAAAACTATACAGTGTACAAATTACTGTCTACAAGGTAGGCGGTTCATTAAGAAGACCTTTCGCTCTTCTTGCTACTTGCAGCTTCACAGATTCATTCACATATTTTTTTTAATGGAGCTGCCCACCCGAACATTACCCCATAACTATATTGCTATAATTAAGATTTTTGCCATGTCTTTATGTACAGTCTCCTTCACTGCCTTTTATTTCTTTTCCCTTAGACAAGCCTCAAACGCTCATGTCACTCCAGAGGAAACACTGCACGGTGGGCTGCGAAACAACGCAACACAGGTTGAGCAGTGCCACAGAACCAGGGGCAGGAGCCACCACCTCCTACTGGTGCCCTTGGGTGACCTTCACCATCCTGAAGCTCTGCAGTTCTGGGGAAGGGAGGGGCGTGCAAGACCTGCAAAAGTGGGGCCCTTCGTCAGAATATACTTCCTGGTAAAAGAGGAGGCTGAAAAATGGAGTTTAGATTATATATATAGTAGTATTTTCAATAGTTTTATCTCAAAAGGAAAGGAGAAAAAAAAAAACGATTTCAAAAAAAAAAAAAGCAACACTTGAACTAGGCCTTTGTATTCAAGAGGCAGGCAGGAATACACACAGTGTGTAACTTAGTTAGCCAGAACTGCTCATTCACTGGCAAAAAAGAGAGCGAGTCTGCCCTTAAAAAATACTGCATGTCCTGTGAGGTTGATTAGTTCACCTAGTAGGTCAAAACAGACAAGGAGAGCTTGGCTGAGATGATCTGTTGTCTACCAAGGCAAGGATTACAGAAATGACCGGGACTTCCTCTGGAACCTGTGCTGCTAGGATCCTGCCGTGCTATTCAGCAGTTGGACTATCAAACTGAATGAGCTCATCAAACACAATTCTCAGGCTCATAAGCATTGTTCTAAAGTATTCGTTATTAAATGATATGCTGTGAGAACAATGGATAGTTTATTTTATTAGGTCATGGCCTGGGAGATATGGGTTGGGGGACTCCTCAAGGTAGCCCCTCAGTGTCACTAATTTTGACAGATTTTCCTTGGAGTAATGAATTTCCTCATTGGGACTGGGGGCTGGTGGGTGGGAGGGCAAAATAAAACCAGTCTCCTTCCATCTTCTAGCCCTCAGGGAAACTAGATCAAATACACACACACACACACATATATATATATAAAATATATATATATATATATATATATATATATATGCACACTTGAGGTACCAACCCTTTTTAAGGTCCCATCATCATCTAATAGGCTTAATTTATCCACAGGAAGATTAATTTTTTAAAATTCTGAATTTTCCTTCTGCTCCGGTTTGCAAGGGCAGGTAACATGAAAATTTAAGATTGATTTTTTTTTTTTTGTTCCCTAAAATTTGAACTTTCATTTTTAATCTATAAGTCTAAATACATTTAATAATAGCAACCCTCTGTTCAATCTTCAGGATATACTAAAAAAAAAAATCCAAGCACACTGCCATCCATTTGAAATAGTGAGTCACAGGTAAATCATACACTATCTTTAATGAAATGAATAAATGGGGAAGAGAAGTGGTGGAGAAAGAACAGAGGAGCACTCCCTCCTATTGGGATGACGTTTCATACAGGAGAAAGTCATACTCGTGTGTTCAACTCCCAAAGCATGAAATACCCACGATGTGGACATTTCAAAGACTATCTCTGCCAAATATGAGACAGGCTCACTCTCCACTGTTGATCCACAACTTGCAAGAATCACCACCACCAACAAAAAAATGATAAAAGACAGTTTGTTTTAAGCCAAGTCTGCCTCCAGAAGAATGTTTTGTGTTTGCTTGTTCTTACTATGTTTGTTGTTATGAACACCAGAAATGAGTTCAGCTTGCACCCCAGGTAGGAAGTTAGAGAAGGGGGAACCTGTGTAAGTTGAAGTTTGTCACAGTAGGCAGAACAGTCGCTTTGCAGCCCAGGCCCATCTCAGGGTGCACTGCTTCACAGCTACACTGTAAAGTGTTAAAAATCCTCCCACCCACCCCAGAATATATATATATGTATATTAAAAAAAATCCCCTGTCCATCTCTCAGTACACAAAAGGACCTCATCACACTGCAAAAATAGCAGTACCCACTTTGGTCAATTAAAACAAACAAACAAAAAAAAGCATACATTATTTTTTTTAAATCTGTGTACTTACCTATAATAACCAATACAGCTAAAAGCACTACCTACATAGGCAAAACTTGGTATTGCATAATTCGTATAAATTTGAAACCCCTCCCCCCCAAATATTAATTGGAAGATGAAAAACATGAAAGGTTAATAGAAAAAACACCAAAATACTGAAAATATTGCTGGTCGATTACAATTTTTAAGCGGCAACTATACACAGCCATGATATGCTTTATAAATGTGAGATAAAGGTATAACTGTCTAAAAAATCCATGATGTCACACATTTTTCTTCGTCTGGAGTACAAAATATTTTGTCATAAAAATGGTAAAGATTTAAAATGATAATAAATGCAGCAAAACAAGTGTAGTGATGTCACTTTTTTGTGTTTTTTTTTTTTGTTTTTTAGATTTCAAGGCAAGGCACGTAATGTGGACATTATATCTTCGTGCAAATTAGGATTACTGGAAAGAGTATTTTTAATTAAAATTTTAAGAGACATAGAGGCAAAATGTGTCTGCCCATGCACACTACAGATCTGTCAATACAAGAAATTTGTTGAACAAGGCTAATGTCTGAAAGCACCATGCAAGTTTTCAGCACCCTGATTACATCTGCTTCCTCAAGAGTGCATTTTATATCCTACACCCTGGCGTTCCCAGTTTGTAAACTGTTAGCTTTACCCTTGTGACATGGATTTGCCTGCCTCTTTGTCTCTATAATGCAGATTTTATAGAACCTTTTGTATACCCTATGGGTTCTTGATGCAACCAGTAATTTTAAATAAATAAATTCTACCTCCAAGGAGGCTGCAGCTAAACCAACATAAGTGCTGTGTTTTCATTAATTTTTTTTTTTCTCAAGCACATGATTTGTCTTGATTTAATGCCTTTTTAATGCCCTCAAAAACTGAGGGGAAAATAAATTCGTTCAAAATTATTTTAAATTCTTTTTAATCCCCTCAATTTAGAGTCCAAGGGCTGAAGGACTTATAATCATGATTCCCCTTTAGATATAAATTTATAAATTGCACTTGCCTCTGTTAAGTGTTTCTTTTGTGGGGAAAATATTATATTAATTTTTACTGTTGCATGCAGAGATAACACTTCACCTACATAGAGGCATTTCTTCCATAGAGCCTTTGTGTTCAAACTGTTTTTTTTTTTTTTACCTTTTTTCTTTTTTCCTTTTTTTTTTTCTTTTTTTTTAAGATTTCAAACTGGGTTACACACTGGAAAAGGCTGGGTTAAGGGCCAAAATTTAATAAATCTGTACTGATAACTAAAGGCTACAGAGATTTTATATATATATTTTTAACTTTTAGAAATCAGAGTGCTTATAAAATGGCTGGCTCATGGCTCCGTCACCCAGCACCTCTGATGCCGCCTCCTAGCCTTCGTTGGTGAGATAACCAGGAATAGTGATTCCATGCGTAAACAACAAGAATACTAAACCAATAAAACTAGCTTATCATGCAAATATTAAGGCATCTAGAAAGTCAGTTAAAATATATTGTCATAGAGACAGAACATCTATTTCCCAGCGGACTTCATGTAACAAAGGCTACGTTGCAGGGGCTGCGATCGATCTACCATCAGTGAAATATCATCGACCCTTTTTTACGTCATTACAGTTTCAACCTTAAGGGAATTAGTGATTGTAAGTGCTGCAATTGCTGGTCTATTATCTTCTTTCTTCAGTTTCTTTCCTTTCTCCCTTTTTTGTTTTGTCCAGTCTTCCTCAGTTCCTTTTTAAAAAAAAAAATTCTTAAACTACTGTTGTATTTCATTTTCCCTCAGTTGCTCGTTTCTGCTTGAAGGAAAGGTTCTCCGATTATGTTCAAACCGTAATTTTGGACATTTGCCGGTAGGATGGGTGTCCTATTTGATACTTGGAAAGGAACCAAGCTAGCCCAGGTACCAGGACTGTTGAAAGGAGAGGGGCAGAAGGAAGGAAAGAGAAAGAGAAAAAAATACAATGTTAAAATATACAATATTAGAAATATAACTTCCATAGGCATCAAATTACTACTATAACTTTTTCCAATACTTTAATATGAGATAAACATGTCAACTTATACATATTATACATGTATAACTACATGCTCTACTTTCATGGAAATTAAAACTAGCTGTGAAACAGAAAAACCTTGGTTGAGGCTCATACTCAATTATTAAACTTTACACAATTGAAGATATTATTCCTAAAATATTTAATCTACTTCTATGTAAATACAATATGATTTTTATAAGATTAAAGAAAATGAAAGCAACAAACCTACATTAGTACATGATAGTTTGCCAGTTCTATTCTGATCTTGTTTGACTTTAATTCCAAGCAATTCATTGAAAAGATGAACTTCAATATTATACCTGCCTCTCAGTTGAATACAATTAAAAGGTATAATGGAAGATATTTTTTTTCCTCACAATAAGAAGAAATGCACTTTTCAGGAAGGCTAGTATATAGTATATAACTTGAAATGCTGACACCAGAAGCCTGACATTGCTTGTCCCTCCACATCATTCATGCTACATCTAAGCTGCTCTGAGTCTGGGGAGTTAGTGGGGGTAAGTGGGAGGAGCACTGGAGCCTTAAGAAGACATGCTTGTTCCTCTCCAACCTGCTCCAATTTCACCTATGTTGGATTTGGGGTTATTTTATATATATATTTGAAAAACAGTTCTCTAACTGCTACTAGAACAATCTCTCACTAAACAAGTATTATAGGGAAAAAATAATATCAGATCTACATATCATAAAACACTCCCACACTATACAATTTGGGGTATACCTAATGCAACAAGTTGAATGTCAACTATGTAACAGCTGCATAGATATCGAGAACCAAGAAAACAGACAATTCCAAACCAGGTTAGTCTTGGTTTGGCATGGAGACAAATTTCAGTATTTGAAATTTAATTTCATACCCCTTTCTTTAGTTTTAAAATCATCAGGTAAGATAGATATTTATTATTGTAGCTACCAACCTAGATATTCTCCTTTTTTTCATACTGGAATTACAAGGGTACAGAAAACCTTATGGGATATTAACTTCAAGGAACAATTTTGTCTCAAAATAAATAAATTAATAAAAAGCTTATATTAAAAATAATTCTATACATAACTTCTTTTACTCTGGTAATGCCTCTATGTAAAACGTGGTTTGTTGCTACATTTCTAGGTGTCTATTTCTGAATATTTCATGAGAAAAAGTTCACAGTGACCTTTTATGCTCAAGGGATTTTACGATTAGATTATGAGCTCCATGATAGCAAGGTTCATTGCTCTTTTGCTCTTCATCTCATATAGTAACTAGCACATGGTAGATGTTCACTAAATTTTTAGATAAACAAAGCAATTAAGTATTCCAAATCACAGTCGACTATGTATTTTTAAAAAGAACTGCTCATGATCACATATTTTTATGAAGTGATTTGGACCCCTGGAAAAGAATACAGGCATCTTTGATTTTATAATTAGAGATGTTTAGCATTAATAAAAATTAATGATGCAGGAAGGGTCACATTCAAACTAAAAAGATATGTTCTCATTATCTGACAAAAGTCACAATTCTAAAGAAGAGTTGTTATTGAGACTAAGAGAATGATTTTCACGTATTTCTCTCTTCCTGTATACATGGTAAACAATTATTTCTGTGCTATATACCATTTGATTGGGGAAAATGTTCCAAGATTCATCAAGAAACTTACTTTCCACTATCCTTTTACACAGCACTATTACAGTATTCATTACTTCATATCATAATCATCTGTATCTATGATTATTTTATTGAGTTCACAAAGTAAGTGACCTCATACATTTTTATAGAATTTGGAAATAGTTGATGTTAATTACTTCTATAAAAATAAAATAATTGACAAAATTTATATTCTTTATTTTCACCTGAAATAGGAAGCATATATGAATAAAGGACTATCTCAAGTTGATAATCCTTGTCAGTAAAAGACAACACCAACAACAAGCAAGTTGCTTCAAAAATCAAAATGAAACCCAATTAAAGAGGCTCTAGAAAGTCATTTAGCACTTGCATACTTTAGGAATATAAAGTATATTTTAGTTATGAAAATAGATGTAACTCCTTTATTGTAGAAATCTACCTATTAGTGGTAGAAAAGGCAAGAATTCAGGGTTGATTTTGCAATCATTTTGTTATTCACTGCTTTAGAAGAGACATGTATTATTATTTTTTGGAAGCTGCTCAATAAAAATAAATTCATGTTAGTGACTAACAGGGGTCCTGCTGCACAGTATCTAACAAATTCAATTTAGATGTTTATTTGAACCTTTCAAAGCTCGCATCCTACATCATGACCATGTCAAAATTGCAATGTGCAATATATTTGTCAATACTGTTTATGAACCTTTTGGGGGAGATAAATCTCAAACTTTAACACTATGCAGACCCCATATATGAGTTTTACAAGTCTCTTACTGCCAGTTTGCAGGTTAAATTCAGAACTATAAGGTACAGACACTTTTAGAGCTTTTTGGTAGTTCCATTGAAAAAAGTCTGGTAAAACTAATTCAAAGATTATAACAAGGATGTTTAGAAAAATGTGTAACCAAACAAAATAACCTATATCATTTAATTTCAAAAAGACAAGCAATGCCTCAAATTGCATATTCAGGTAGAAATGTAAGAGTGCTTTTTACATATCTAAATCTCTAAGTATAAATCAATGCCAATGAACATCAGTATGGGTAAAATAAACACACATAGTCATATTTATTTACATGTAAAACTAGTTAGATATAATATGATTAACAGCTTTAATTCATAATGGATTGAAAATTATGTGAATAATCTTATGTCCAATCCAATAATTTGCTCCTCTGTCTAGTAAGAGACATGAGTATAATTGAAAGACTTCAGAATATTTAAGTTCAAATTAAACTACTTCATCAGTATAGTTCCAAGAATGCATTTATTTTGTTTCATTAGTAAATTTCATTACCATTTTCCATTGCCAAATCATTATTTTTTTTAGGCAAACAGAAAATGAGTGTGACTGAAACTTGAAAGCATATTTTAGCAAATATAAGTGGGCCTTACCATTAAATAAAGAAAAGAATGTAAGTACTTTGTAAACAATCAGACACAAAAAATAAGCACAAACAATTCTGATAGTACCTTAACAACAAAGCAGAGTGACTTCTACTCTAAGGATAAAATGCAATATTTCATGATTAACAAAACACATGGGTTAAATCAAAGTTCCAAACTAATAAATGTCTGATATGCTGGATACATTCTCACACTTTTTTTGACCAAAAGTATGAAGAGGCTGCCCCAAAAGGGAAGAAGCAAACAAATAAATTGATCTGAAGCTGCATTAATGATCCTGCTTCTTTTTATGATGATCAGACTACTTCTGAAGCACTGTGACTTCCTTTAAGTATCATTTTCAAGAGCAACAGACTCTGACATTTTGGGGGTGAAGAAACTCACCAAATCATGTCATTCAAGGAAAGCTAAAGGGGAGACAGGGAAGATATTATAAGAGTTGAATTGGAAAGAAATGCAGGTTTCTTCCATACGGTTCAGACTGACAGAATTTTCACAAAGGGAGAAACTTCTAGAAGATAACCATGCTGAGGGACTACTATAAGCATGGTACCGTATTTAGTGTTTTACATATGCTGCATCACTTATCAATTAATTCTCTCAATGAACTCTTGAAATTATTGTCAGCAACCTATGTCACAGGAGAGGATTTTGAGAGGTCAAGGAGGTCAAGAAACAGGCCCAAAGTTACCCACATAGACCTCAGATGTCAATCAGTTCTATCTGATTCCCGTGGTCCTTGGTTTATGTTTATACTGCTATCCTGGGAAGTTAGACATTGCCCCAACATTGGAAAGAACTTTGAACTGAGTTTTCAAAAGGCAAAACATACTTGCTTCTAGAGACAGTAGCTTTCCCGCATCTCACACAGCTGGGTGATAGATAACCTAGCTGAAGTAGCAATAGACTTGTGCTTAGAATGTGTCTGGTCTGGGTGCTAGGCCATGAGATTTGAATGTATCTATCTCCTCTGAAAACAAATCTAGTTGAAGTTCTATAGAACTTAAAGGATTAAGGGGAAAGAAGACACTCTACTTCTTCCTTTAAAAAATGGATTGGATAAAATAGTCTTTGAGTCTACAAGGAGAAAATAGACTCTCATTCTTTTTTTGGTTTTTTTTTTTTTAATGTCTATTCAGGTCCTCTTTTTTTTTTTTTTTAAAGATTTATTTATTTATTTATACAAGCACTGGGTACAGTCAGAAGTGCGGAGAGGTGAGAGAATTCACCAGAGCCAGAGCAGGGAGCAGAGCAGGCAGAAGGACCGAAGTACGCTGCTGAGGGGAGCAGCGGGCGGCAGGAGAGGTCTGCGCGCCTTGTGGGACCCTCCTCTGGTGACCGGGGAGCAGCCGGGAATTGAACCAGTGCTGCAGAGGCTGCAGGCAGCTTCGCAACCCAGCGCTCAACCGCTGAGCCACCGGGGAGGCCTGATTCTCATTCTTTTAATGAAAGAAAGAAAAAGTTGCTCTGGGCAACCAAGTCAATATTTCATGTGCTTTGGAAATTATCAATTCTAAATTGATAATTGGTTCCTTGTTAAGCAAGGAACCAAACAAAATCAGTTTACTTCAACTATTAGTTTTAGGTGATTAAAACAATCACAGCTATTTCAATAATGACAGGATTCAATTTTATTAAGCTATGTTTAAGAGGCAACTCATTTGTTGAACAGTTTATAAAATGTCAAAGTATCCAGTATATTAATATTTTTCAGGGGAATAATAATATTGCTCATTTAGATTTTACATACTGATTTAACCAAATGCCTACCCTACTGACTTCAAAGACTAGGATTCTTGCAAGAAGCTTTAAAGACTATTATACGTATAAAATGCA